CAAGATCCCTTGAAAATAAGAATATCGTCCTTGTACCCCTTGTCCGAGTCGGGAAGATGAGTTACAAGGTACATGGAGGGGTCCCTGGCTTTGAGGTAGAAGTGTTGTTGAGGCATGACTCTCAAGAGGGAATAACAAAAAAGGAGATCGTTCAGCCCAATATTTATCCCGAGACGCCTATTAAGCTCTAAGACCCCCATAATTATTATGAAGACATTAAGGCAACACTGCCCGGGGAAGAGGTGGAAGTGAGAGAGGAACTGGAGAAGTAAAGGGGGTAAAGGAAACCTAATTCTGCCCTCTATTATGGCCTTAGTATAAAAGGGCATAGCATCCTCAGGCCTGAGGGTAGGAGAGTGCACCACCGGGTCATAATCCTCTATGTCTACGTATGGGGGAATGTTGTACTTGACCTTAAACCTATTAATCTGCTCACCACCCTTTACTTTATACTTCCCCGACCCCGAAGAACCAGCCAAAGGATTCTCGGGAGCAGGGCGACGACGAGGTATCTCTAAGAAAGTGAGAAAGTGGAGGGTGTTTTTCCTTAAAAATCCATGAGGAAGCTTCCCGAGGATTAGTCGCTAAGTATCAACCGGAGACACCTCCAATCATCGAAAAACAAAAAGGGATAGGAGGACGAGAAGAGGAAGGATACTAGGACTCACCCGAATGTCAAACGGAGTTTTTTCTGAAAAACTTTAGGCGACTCCTTCCAGAAAGTTCAGAAGCAACGATGGGTCTGCTGGCCTTAAGACTTTAAGGGAAAATGGGCAGTTGACAATGGGGAAGGAAAGAGATCTCCGGCGAATATTCAGGAAAAGGCTCTCTTGAGGAAGTTCAGAATGGCGAAACAAGAAAATGGAAGAGGAACCCCATTTATATAGTGTCAGTTTCATCATTGGGCGCGAAACACGAAAATGCGCATTTAATGCACACGACATCCTAAGCAGGGGAAAGCGGCTCGAGACAATGATGAAGCAGTTGTGGTTGTTGGGAAACCCTTCGTCTCCTTACGACGCGTGCCCTCGGTGTCAGAAGATCGAAGGCTGGGGGGGCAGTTGATGGGACTTTTCTGAAATACTCCATGATGAAGACACGTGTCCTCGGTGTTACCAAAACACTGTTGTTAAGATCAAGCACCATCAGCTCACAAAGGTCTCTCGCTCCCAAGGTACTCGTCATATGGGATCATGGCATTCAGTACGTTTTACAATTGACACGTAGCCTCGGTCTGATATGGTGCCTCGGTCGGTATACCTTCCTCGGTTCTGAGATGTGTCTTTCCTCGGTGCCGAGAGGTACCCCGTCCTGGACGCCTCCTCTGCTCCAGAATAAACTATTGATGTACAGGTCATTAGCCTAGGCTAGTCTAGGCTATTCATCATGACCTCGTCTTACACAATTGGTGTCAGAACGCACAGGAATGCAGGGGCCACAGCCAATGGGGGATGGACGCGTGGCATATGATGTCACATCAAAGACAGAAAAACCGCATGCCGTTGCTGACACGCGACTTGGGAAAACAAACGATTAATTACACCATTCCTTTGACGAGACTGCATTCAATGCGGTAAGGCTCGGAAATGAAAGGCAATAAATGAAAGGCTCGGTATGGTTGGCCACTCAACTGACTCACTCGAGTTCACCAAGGGAGAGATTTGTTCTCGTTTTTATATTGTGCAGGATCGTGTACGCACAATAGTTAAAGAAATAAATTAGATACTATGATATATAAGAGAATTGAGTAGTGCGAAGGGTAGCTCAAATAGTAATATGGATAAACTGTAAATTCAGATGTCCTGAGTTTGAATGTTTGCAACCCTACGGAGGATTTATCCTTCATAAATACCATAATCTCGACATGAATATTAACCCTTTGGAATTAAGCCACGGAGGATTTATCCCCCGTGAATATAGTAATCTCGACTTAAATGATTTGTTTTTTATTGGACTGAAAAAAGGATTAATCGAAGTACACGTAAGCTGGGTCAAACACTGTTGTTTGACAAAAAAAAAGAGAATAAAGATAACGAGTAATGCTACTCGTTATCTACGCACAATAGTTAAAGAAATAAATTAGATACTATGATATATAAGAGAATAGAGTAGTGCGAAGGGTAGCTCAAATAGTAATATGGATAAACTGTAAATTCAGATGTCCTGAGTTTGAATGTTTGCAACCCCACGGAGGATTTATCCTTCATAAATACCATAATCTCGACATGAATATTAACCCTTTGAAATTAAGCCACGGAGGATTTATCCCCCATGAATCTAGTAATCTCGACTTAAATGATTTGTTTTTTACCAGACTGAAAAGAGGATTAATAGAAGTACACGTAAGCTGGGTCAAACACTGTTGTTTGACAAAAAATAAAGAGAATAAAGATAACGAGTAATGCTACAAAAACTAAAAATAATGATTTAAAAACTTGACTTGATGATATAGTTATTATATTTATCATTAATTTAACTGTGGATCCCATTATTTATCGATGATAGGATTCAAGCCAATTTTTTTTAAGTACATTAAAAAATTTCGGTGGTTTGGAATTATTCTTTCTTATCAGTTATGGATGGCAAGAATAATGGCAAACAGCTAAAAGAGATTTTACCCCTGCAACAATCTTAACAGCAGCCATGGCAGCAACCGCTCGAGCATTCACAAACCTCCACTGCAACAGTCTGTTATGCACAACACGAAACCGATGATACCCTTCCTCTTGTATCGGTGGCGTCTTCTTCTGCCTGAAGTACTTCAAAACCCCATTAATACCACCACTGATCAGTTCCTTCTTCAGTACTCGGCCAGAGCTAGGTGAATTTGGAACCATTGAACAAGGCGAAGATCTCCCTGGAGATAACGCCCATGCAGAAGGAGAAGGAGATGTTGACCTTGTTTGCAAAAAATTGACAAAACTGTGTCTCTTTTCTAGAGGCTTATTTTGGGTGCTTGGAGTTTTGGTTAAAGTAATCGAATTCTCTTCTTCTTTGTGTGTTCTTGATCTTGTTGTTGATTTTGATCGGTGGCGAGACTTTGACGTGAGTGAATGTTTCTGATCCGGTAGCGATATGGCCGGAGTTCCGCTTTTGCTTCGTTGTAGGCGAGGCGAGGGTGGTATTCCGGCAGATTGACGCCTACGGGAGTGAGTGTTCTCCATGTCTTCTTGGCCAGCTAGGTTTCTTTTGTGTCCCTCCAACCTCTCTATGTTATTGTAGTATGTAAAGGAGCAGATTAACGGAATGTAGAAAGAGTCCACCTAACATGTTGAGAAGTTGGGCGCACGTTAAGTGACCAACAACAGCTGACTCTCTCTTTCTAACTCACGGTTCAACCCCGCAGCCTATCCATCATTAACTTGGATGGCACCGAAACGCAGTAGTTTTGCCAAATGTGAGAGGGCAAAGCTCTAGAAATGTNGGCGCACGTTAAGTGACCAACAACAGCTGACTCTCTCTTTCTAACTCACGGTTCAACCCCGCAGACTATCCATCATTAACTTGGATGGCACCGAAACGCAGTAGTTTTGCCAAATGTGAGAGGGCAAAGCTCTAGAAATCTTATTTGAAGACCTAATTTAGGATTTAATGACGTAGTTTTAATATAATTATTAAATTAATTGTGAGATTCAATGTTATATAGAACTTGCAATCAATTCAATAATTGTACATCATTAAATTCTTAAATTAAGTTCTCAAATTAAGTCTAAATACAATAAATAAGAATAGAACAACGATTTAATAGGTTAGTGTGGACCGACAATTTTTTTACTTTTTTTTTTTCAACAATCAGATGATCAAGTCAATTTACGCATATCTCGATTAATTTTTTCTTAAGTTTGATTAAAGGCAAACTATTTATACTAAGATTAAAGTATTCATGAGATATAATTAGATATAATTTTTTCACGACCTTTTGCTCTAAAAAATTGACAAGTTTCGAACTCACAAGATTTGAATTTATTCAATTGTCCACCACNTAATTGTGAGATTCAATGTTATATAGAACTTGCAATCAATTCAATAATTGTACATCGTTAAATTCTTAAATTAAGTTCTCAAATTAGGTCTAAATACAATAAATAAGAATAGAACAATGATTTAATAGGTTGGTATGGACCGACAATTTTTTTACTTTTTTTTTTTCAACAATCAAATGATCAAGTCAATTTACGCATGTCTAGATTAATTTTTTCTTAAGTTTGATTAAAGGCAAACTATTTATGCTAAGATTAAAGTATTCATGAGATATAATTAGATATAATTTTTTCACGACCTTTTGCTCTAAAAAACTGACAATTTTCGAACTCACAAGATTTGAATTTATTCAATTGTCCACCACAGAGACAGGAGAAGAGAAGAAAGTGGCATTTAGAGGAATTTGGAAACACGGAGGAGGAGGAGAAGCAGAGAAACATACAAAATCTACTCTACAGTCTTACAGACACTCTTCTCCCAATGCTTCCTCCAAATACGACTTCCTCATGGTCCTTCTTCTTCTTTAATCGAATCAATTCCACCACAACCAAAACAAACAAACCCTAAAATCCAATTGTTATTTTCACCCATTCACTTAAAATGAAGTCTCTTCAACTGTGTTGTGAGTGTTGTTCAGTTGAAAGTAAGGTCCAATGATCACACCCCTTCCGCCACAATTCAAACCATGAAGTATGGTTGTGTATCAGTGTTGCTACACTATCTATGTAGGGAGAGGCCCCTTTTGCCTCCATTAAGATTTTTTTAAATTAAATACTTGTGTAGTTTAATCAGTTCCAAACTTGAGGTAACTAATCATATATTAGGTTGTGGCATTGAGACTTCTTTTGCACTATAATTTTGAGGTGGGCATGCCCATGTTATGTATTTGTGCTTGTGAACTTTGTTATGTGGTTATTGCACTAAGGTTCCTTTGTCAAATTACAATCCTGGTCTTCATTACTGTGGTATCTTAATGTCCTCAAGGGTCAGTAGTTTAAAAGTAAGAGGAAGACCATTGTTTGTGCAAATACCCCTTAGAAGGAATCTCCACTTCCATTTGACATGGTGCTGGATCATGTCTCATAAATACTAGTGTAGCAGAACTGGGATCCTAAAAGTTTGTGGTTAGATTGTTAACTCAAACTCCTTTGGCTTGCAGTTTGATTGTTGAACTTCATTAAGGATGATGAACATGATGTCAATTTTCTTCTTTTGCTTTATTTTCCCTCATGTGAACAGGTTTGAATTATGATCACAAAAAAAAAAAAAAAATATAGGGTTGAACAATTCTCAGCCTATCAGCCATAACATTCCCGCAAACATTGGACTGGCTGCATGGTTATCCTCTTTGGTATAGTTGTTTCTGATCTTTCATCGTATTGTATCTTACATGCCATTTACTTGCATCTGATATATGTAGCCCCACTTGCTGGTCCTAAACTTTTACAGTTTTACTAGTAATTAACGGGCAAACTTTTACTACTGTCTTGAGTAATTAGCAGGACAAGAAGAATGTTAGTGGTCACTGGGTTGCTCTTAGAGGCTGCTTTGTCCTCTTTAGTTTGTTGGTGTACTTGGCTAATACTTTTAGCTGATCATCCTTTTCCGAGTTCTCTTTTTGAGTCTGAAATCTCTCGTATTTTGTTGTCTTTCATGTGTATTGAGCAAGGGTATATTATCTGTTTGCAAGGGAAGTGGTGGGCATCCAGATAAACATTAAATTGCCAGTGTTTCCAGCTTAAGAAATTACTGGTATCTTCTATCCAGTGTACTGCATCGATAAAAGTACATATGCATTTATGGGAAGTTCATGCTAAGACTGATATAAAATTGCACTTGCCAAATGAAAATGGAGACTAGGTGCATTACCCTTCATCTCTTCAGATTTTAACTTCACATTTATGTCATAGAACAAAACTCATGAATTGAAACAGTTTTACATTTGGTATGAAAAGATTTCTCAGATCTCATCATCCCATAATTCTTGAATGGTCTGGTATGGACTTGTGGTTTCATTAACAAGAAATTCTCCTCTCATTATCTTCCTCTCCTCCATCTGCTCAATGTCAAGTAAATCACCGTCGTCCAATCTCAGTTTATGGGCTCTCATGTTCTCCTTCATCCTGTCGTGGTTGAAGCTCTTCACGATCACGCTAGCGCCCTTTGTTAATCCCCATTTTAAAGCAACCTTTGGAGTTTCAAGACAAGTTAGGCAATGTTATTGCTTGTTAATCCAGAAAATGTTGGCTTATTAGGCATTGATTGGCTATAGCATATCCACATTGGCACATGCATGGTAATTGTCAAGTTGTAATTTAAATCATTTTATTTTGGTGAGTAAAATTGTTACATTTTAACTGAAGATACAGGTAAAGTAGTTTTATTTATAAAAACATGAGTCTTCCTGCAATGGTGGAGCCACATTGAGGCCTAATGGAGACTAAGGTTGTAACTTTGGCCGGTTAGATAGGTTGAGTGGTTAATTTGGTTCGATTCAAGTGCAATTGGCCCCGACTTCTACCTGAGTAATGCCTATGCTTTAAATTCTAATTGAAATCAATTTCAATTAGAATTTAATTACATGGTGACACAAATCCACCTCAAGGAAGGAGATGTGAGACACACACATACNAAAAAAAAAAAAAAAATATAGGGTTGAACAATTCTCAGCCTATCAGCCATAACATTCCCGCAAACATTGGACTGGCTGCATGGTTATCCTCTTTGGTATAGTTGTTTCTGATCTTTCATCGTATTGTATCTTACATGCCATTTACTTGCATCTGATATATGTAGCCCCACTTGCTGGTCCTAAACTTTTACAGTTTTACTAGTAATTAACGGGCAAACTTTTACTACTGTCTTGAGTAATTAGCAGGACAAGAAGAATGTTAGTGGTCACTGGGTTGCTCTTAGAGGCTGCTTTGTCCTCTTTAGTTTGTTGGTGTACTTGGCTAATACTTTTAGCTGATCATCCTTTTCCGAGTTCTCTTTTTGAGTCTGAAATCTCTCGTATTTTGTTGTCTTTCATGTGTATTGAGCAAGGGTATATTATCTGTTTGCAAGGGAAGTGGTGGGCATCCAGATAAACATTAAATTGCCAGTGTTTCCAGCTTAAGAAATTACTGGTATCTTCTATCCAGTGTACTGCATCGATAAAAGTACATATGCATTTATGGGAAGTTCATGCTAAGACTGATATAAAATTGCACTTGCCAAATGAAAATGGAGACTAGGTGCATTACCCTTCATCTCTTCAGATTTTAACTTCACATTTATGTCATAGAACAAAACTCATGAATTGAAACAGTTTTACATTTGGTATGAAAAGATTTCTCAGATCTCATCATCCCATAGTTCTTGAATGGTCTGGTATGGACTTGTGGTTTCATTAACAAGAAATTCTCCTCTCATTATCTTCCTCTCCTCCATCTGCTCAATGTCAAGTAAATCACCGTCGTCCAATCTCAGTTTATGGGCTCTCATGTTCTCCTTCATCCTGTCGTGGTTGAAGCTCTTCACGATCACGCTAGCGCCCTTTGTTAATCCCCATTTTAAAGCAACCTTTGGANATGTCAAGTAAATCACCGTCGTCCAATCTCAGTTTATGGGCTCTCATGTTCTCCTTCATCCTGTCTTGGTTGAAGCTCTTCACGATCACGCTAGCTCCCTTTGTTAATCCCCATTTTAAAGCAACCTTTGCAGTTTCAAGACAAGTTAGGCAATGTTATTGCTTGTTAATCCAGAAAATGTTGGCTTATTAGGCATTGATTGGCTATAGCATATCCACATTGGCACATGCATGGTAATTGTCAAGTTGTAATTTAAATCATTTTATTTTGGTGAGTAAAATTGTTACATTTTAACTGAAGATACAGGTAAAGTAGTTTTATTTATAAAAACATGAGTCTTCCTGCAATGGTGGAGCCACATTGAGGCCTAATGGAGACTAAGGTTGTAACTTTGGCCGGTTAGATAGGTTGAGTGGTTAATTTGGTTCGATTCAAGTGCAATTGGCCCCGACTTCTACCTGAGTAATGCCTATGCTTTAAATTCTAATTGAAATCAATTTCAATTAGAATTTAATTACATGGTGACACANGAGTGGTTAATTTGGTTCGATTCAAGTGCAATTGGCCCCGACTTCTACCTGAGTAATGCGTATGCTTTAAATTCTAATTGAAATCAATTTCAATTAGAATTTAATTACATGGTGACAAAAATCCACCTCAAGGAAGGAGATGTGAGACACACACATACCTGCGCAGGGGTTGCTTTGTGTTTGAGAGCAATGGATTGGATGATGGGGTCTTCCACCACAGCCGTTGATCCCCATGAATTTCCCGGCCCACCAAGTGGTGAATATGCACTTACATGGATCCTGTGGTCCCCACAGAACTGCCTTAAATTTCTTTGCCTCCACATTGGATGCATTTCCACCTGTACCATATCAGTGAACAGAACAGAATGATGCTGGTCGTCGTGTTTGCATATAATACCACAGAAGGGCCCCACAAATTTCAAAATGATCTAATCAAAAAATAGTACTTTCAACTCATAATATTCATTATTAATCTGCACGACTTAAAATCTTGTGCTCTTCAACACCTTTAAACTACTTTAGTCCTTTTGGAATGTAAAAATATTTTAAAATTTAATATGGATACTGAAAATTATAATTCCAGCGGCAGATATCTCAAATTGTATTCAAGTTGATACATTCAAATTGCATCGCTAGACATAATTAACTTACAATACAATGTTAACATAATTCATGTGGCCTACCTCGGTTATGATTAAGTTTTAGCCGGGTTGATTTGTAAAATACTTAATAATATGAGAGACATTCTCTTTGTGAAAAACTAACATACCTGATTAACAGCAGGGGCCAATGATGCAAAGTCTAATAGCTTTTCGATCTTCCTGGAAGAGAAATTGCTGACACCAATGCCCCTACAGAGTCCCAGCTCCATGCATTTTTCCATTCCATACCATGTGGTCTCCAAGTCCAGTGGCTCAAAATCATCTTCCATAGGCACAGCATAGCAAGCCCAAGGCTTCAACTTGACCGGCCAGTGCACCAAGTACATGTCAATGTACTCCATCCCAAGGGTCCTACAACATACCAGATATACTTCTGTCAGTATCAGCATTCTATTTCTCTCTCTCTCTCACACACCCACACACATATGTTAGGTGCATGTGCAATTGTGCATGAGTTTCGGCCTGCATATTCTTACTGTAGAGTTTGGTTGAGAGCTGAAACTGGATCATGGTGATCACTTCCCCACAGCTTTGACGTAACAAAAATGTCTTCTCTTTCAACCACACGAGCACCAATTGCTTCTGTTAAAGCCTTTCCCACGGCAGGCTCAGAACCATATACTTTTGCTGTATCAAAATGCCTGTAACCCATCTGCATACAACCAGCACCACATTTGGGAGTAATGAAACAAAGATAGATAAGAGGTGTTTATGGCCATCAGGATGCATTGTTAGCTCTATGCCTCTATCACTCGTTAAATTAAGTAGAAAAACAAAAATGCTATACATGGATGTACAAATGTGTTTGCATGCAATGCAGACAGAAATTTGTGTTTGTTTGCAAGAGAGATCAAATGACGAAATAACCCACATGGGTTAGTTTAGCGTTCAAACAAAGGGCCAAGTGTAAACCTGCTTTGTTTATTCTCGGCCACGTATAGCTTGGATTGTAGGTAAGATTGCATGCATACGATTTTTGTATTGCAATCATAAAAAAATTGAAGTAAAGCTTAGTGCATGTAAATGGTGAGTTTTACCTGTAGAGCCATATGTACTGCTCGTTCAGTAGTCTCTCTATCATTTTCATAGGAATAAGTGCCCATACCAAGGATAGGTATGGTTTTCCCAGTGTTCAGTCTTGCTTGATTTCTCTTCATCTCTCTCTCTCTCTCTCTGGTTCTTTGCCTTCACAACACATCTAGGAACTCTCTCACATCACCTATCTATAGTTACAAGCACATAGAAGTCAACCACAGATAACCGTTTCTTCAGACCAACTCACCACCCAAACTAAGTATAAAATTAAATTATAATCTCATGAAGGAGGTGTAAGGCGGTTCATATTTAAGTGTTTATGTGTACACATCAAGGGATCTGCCATGTCCCTAGGGATATTTAACACTACTTAATTTGGAAGAAAGAAGCTAGTTTTTATATAATCATTTGTAATGCTATTTTTGGGGTTACTGGTATCATTAAAGAACCTACTTAATTTGGAATTATTATTAACTTTGTGTTAATTGTAAATGACTTAAACTAATTAAGACTAAATCCTGTAATTTCATGTTGAATTGACAAATCGAATTGTCAACCTTAAAAATTTTACATGGTAATTCAAATAGTATTAGAAACAAGCTATAAATTTAGATGTTTTGTATTCAAATCTTGGCAATCCTTTGAGATCGGGTCATAAAAGATTTATCCCTCATAAATAACCTAATATCGGGGTGGACAACATGTTTTTAATTAGATTGAGGAAGAAATTAATCAAAATATGCATAAATTAATCTGAACATCTCTAACGTTTAAAAAAAAATAATCGTCAACCCTAATCACGCCACATTGTTATCATCTGTACACTTTATCACCAAACACTGCTGAGCCAAAAAATAAAATAGAAGCAATTATTTGTGGGCTGCAGGAGGTCAAGAGTTTGACATAGAATATCCTGAGAAGAGAAATGAACTTAATTAATAAAAAAAAATGTCAGACAGTTGACATCCATTCTAAAATTCACCTCAAACTCAAACCCACTCTTGTCAGAAAAATAAGACGGAAAAATAAGTCAATTAGGTTTGAAGTTCAATCGTGACCTGTAGTGTAATGAAACAAGGCCCCTTTTCTCTCTCTCTCTCTCTCTCTCTCTCTCTCTCTGCGCTTATGGAATGAAGGAGATGAATGCAGCCATAACACAATATTTTAAAAAAAATATTATTTAGATCTAATTTAATACAATCGTTGAATTGATAATAAATTATNTCTCTCTCTGCGCTTATGGAATGAAGGAGATGAATGCAGCCATAACACAATATTTTTAAAAAAATATTATTTAGATCTAATTTAATACAATCGTTGAATTGATGGTAAATTCTATCTAACATTGAAACTCGTAACTAATCTAATGACTTCATTGGATTAGGTCCTTGTAGCATTGCTCTATTTTATTTTATTTTTTGAAAAAATAATGTTATTAGGACCTAAAAAATTAGCATAATTTATTGATCTAATGATATGATTTTATTATAATTATTTTGAAACTTGACGATAAAATTTGTCTTTAAAGTGACATGGAAAAAAAATGGTCAACGCAGAAGTATTTAACAATTATTTGTGGAAGCCAACTATGTTTCAAAAGTCTAATAGGACGGTTGGGAAGTCCCTCTCATCCAATGCTTGGAAGAATATGTGTGTGGGCCTGGCCATGCATCAGATTATTGAAACATCTAAATCAATGCTGGACCTGTGGGTTTTCGAGGGATTACGAAATGTGCAAATAAGTTAAAGTTCGGGACGGGATTTGATGTAACGGTGAATTTAGCACGATGATATGATTCAAATCATGAAAATAATTTGTATTTTAACATAAATTTAATTATTTGTGTCTGACCCTTTTCATATCAAAATAAAAATCATACTTTTAAGTTAATTAAGTTTAAATTTTGACAATATTTTAAAGTTATCAATGAAAAAATTATCTAACATGAATACCCTAATCTGTTTTTGATCGGATGGAGAGAGAATTAGTTGAGATATGTGTAAATTAATTCGGACACGTTGAAAAAAAGAAAAAAAAAGATTAGTCAACTTTNCGATGATATGATTCAAATCATGAAAATAATTTGTATTTTAACATAAATTTAATTATATGTGTCTGACCCTTTTCACATCAAAATAAAAATCATACTTTTAAGTTAATTAAGTTTAAATTTTGACAATATTTTGAAGTTATCAATGAAAAATTTATCTAACATGAATACCCTAATCTATTTTTAATCAGATGGAGAGAGAATTAGTTGAGATATGTGTAAATTAATTCGGACGCGTTGAAAAAAAGAAAAAAAAAAGATTAGTCAACTATAAGCTAGTAAAAGATGTGATTATGGTGGAGCTGCCGCGTTAAGACCTGTCCATCATAATGATAAAACATTGGACTACACACCATTTATATATGCTGGGATCTTGGGACACTGTCATGTGATTTGAAGATTTTAACACGTTCCGATGATCCCTGAACATATCCACCGCCTTTGAGTTTTCTATTTTTCATTCTGTATTTGCCAGTTTGTTTTTCATGGTCGGCTCAATATGCTTACAATTGGATCATCATTAACCGAGGTAGGGTTTATCAAATCACAACCCCACTAGCTTGTTAATGGTGTAATTTTGACAGGTCAATCTGAATTCAATTCAAAATGATAATACTTCAACAATAAGTCATAATACTTAAGTAAAGAAAGTCTAACCAAAATAAAAATTGAACACTCAATTTAAAATATCCTATTATGAAGACAACCCAAATTAATAAATTCAAATGCAATACCAATTGAGGCAAAATTTTAGCCCAAATTGTGCAACTAAAAAATTAAACACAAATAGGGCATGGGTGCAATGCTTGGTGATAATTTTGCCTTCATTCTAGTGAAGATGGGTTTGAAATTTTTTTACCAAGCTCTAAAAGGACTAACAAAAATGCTTAAATTATGCAATACATCATCAAGTCGTACAAAAAAGTGCTTGCAAAAATGTTACTCTTTGAAGTTTTGGAGTTGAGAATTGAAACTTCTAACTCAATCTACCCATGATATTCAAAATCTGAAAACCTTTTTAGTGGTACAACTTAACAATATTGAAAATCAGGAGTATTACATATCCTCTTGCCGTAAATTACAAAGGACGTGGCACAACACATTTGAAAGGTCACACAAATTACATAGCCAAAAAAGATACAGTTTAGTACAATGAAAATGGCTAGAAGCAATAGGCAGCAAAAGACAACATGAACAAGAGCTTCTATAATGACACTCCCCATAATTAGCTATAAATTTACATACATACATACAAAAGAGTTCCGCATCAATTGCATGCTCCAGATCCTATACTTCAGTAGTTAGGACTGACTGCAGAGGTCATTTCAAATCTCTCAATCAACCTTGAAAACGAACCATATGAGAATATAAGAAGGGGCATAAAAAATAAAGATACAAGCAGTCATAGCTAAATTAGATCATAAGGGAGCAATTTGATTGTTACATTCCACAATCTAATTGAGTTTTTTTTTCTCATTACTTCATCTAGTTCCCCTTGGTTGCAGGCGTCACAAAGTAAATATGAAGTTCATGAACCTCATAACCACTATTTCGATGCATTCAGTATTTATGTTATGAATTTTCCTTTCCCATCTTCATAACACCAAAACAACAAATGTTCCCAACATCTATCAACAATTTAAAACTTATTGTAGCTGTTGTTAAAATTAGTAGTGACAAAACCAAAAGGCTAATATGGCAGGGCAGTTAGGGGTATGGTGGCAACATCACATAACCAATAAAATTTATTTTTGTACCAAGAGAAACAGAGACATAATTATTACCATCTTAACCTCATTAGATTGATGGTTATTCACTCAGTTAGAAACAAAATTAATCTAAAAGATGTTGATCTGGTAAACTTTATGATTGCAATATCAACCACATCAACGTTCTGACATGGCAATGCTTACAAATTCTAAGTAAACCGGAACCAAGTTGCCAAGCGATGAAAAACACCACAAAAACTGAATGATACCCAGAGTTATTACCGGTTAAAGCATGATATCGGTGAAATCACTTATTTTGCTTAGCTGCAACTGTTCTCTGCACAGTAGAAACACCATCCACAAACTTTGTTCGGAAAAGAACATTCGCATTATTGAACATACCTTCTTTCAGAGAAACAACAATGAACTGCAGAACACAAATAAGAGGATCAAATAATAGATACTTCAAAGAAAATTCAACAGTCACAATTGTGCACTGTAATTTAATAAGATTTACTTTCGCAAATGGAATTGTGATGCCAGCTGTTTTTCTATTTTTTTTCTTTTTTTGCTTCATCTTAAATTCCTATTGGTCATTGAGCATACTTTCCTCAATACAATAGCACCTACCAGGAGAAATGAGATGCCACTAAGTGTGTGGCCACTTGTAATCACAAGCACATGAAATTAATACAAACATGTATTAGCATGCTTCATGATCATTGATCATGAGCATTTTGTTGGTAGAAGGAAACCAAATTTTATACTATTAATCAAATATTTGGTTTCTGACAGCAATGCAAACACTTCATTGCAGTAGTTTTAAGCCATTGTTGCAGAATCCTTTCTACTGGTTTACCATATCAAAATTCTAAACACCATTTGGGATGATCTATCAATAATGGTCCATGCAACAATATCCCCCTCTTCTGAACTCAACTCAACACAAATGAACATTGTCCTAACTACTTGTTTCTTCAATATATTATACTTGAGGATTCTCCCAATTGGCCTTCCAACTCCACTCAACATGACTCAAAAGATTCTTCGGTTTAACATTAAACCGTAAATGATCATTTTTTTTACTATCTCATTCAAAATAAATTTCTAGAGTAAAATTTACTCTATTCTCAACCTACCTCTATCTCATGTGTTACCTTACATATGTATTAAACCACATTTTGTTACCAGTCCAGTACTACGTCTCTTATAAGCATGTCCAAACTGCCATAGTAGATTATCTCTTAATTTATTTCCTATGGGTGGTACTTCTACAATTTTAACAATAAATCATTTCTACTCATTTTTGTGAATGTTGATTGATTGATTCTTCTTTTCTTTTTTGTTGAACATGGTGATTAATTTAATGAATAGATGTTGCTCCACATTTCTAACCACGTGTGATTACAAATAAAAAGAAACAATCTCAATGCAGATTCACTTTTCATGAACTATTACATAGCCTCAAACCACCAAGAAACTCAATGTAATTATAAAACTTCAGTTTTCGGGAAACGATTGAGACTCTCTTTTTCATTTTATTAAGCAACTCCACAGAGAAACTATTGATGAAACGTTAGGCCTGATCAAACATTCCAACCAATTCAAGAAATAAGAAATGAACCTGGGAATGTGGAAAATGAGTTTTGATCATTCTTCCAATGTTTTGTGTATGACTTAGATCAAGCGCTGCATCAACCTGCCAAACATCAGTACAAAGGCACAAGGTTGTAGATTAAAGCAAACACTCTTTAAATCGAAGTGTAAGAGTATGTGAGTCACACAAGCTGGAGATCAATTCTATGTACCACACAACGTAGAGGAAATTTATGCTAAACTAAAAGAACTGGCATAGTCAACCGTCAAAAATAGAGAACCATTGTTATTTTCATACAAAATTTTCAAAAATAGAAAGCTATGGACTTAATTAGTCACTTATGCAAGAAGGCATACTTTACTAGAGACTGCTGAGTACGGATGGGGCATAAGGTAATAGTGGACGACATAAATGCGTGTTATAAGTTTTGGAAAAAATTACACTCAACCTCTCTGATGTTTGTCACTTAATCACTTAGACCCATGACATTTAAAATATTACATACAGACCCCTTAAGGACGCACATAATATTTAGACCACTATCGTCAATGTTCATTAGTCTATCCGTTAATAAATTATACCTAGATCTCCTGAAGTTTATAGACATATAACACTTAGACTCCTTAAGTTTGAAATATTACACTTAAATCCCTTATTAGTTACGGAACTTACGGAATCTATTAAATGATCAAATTATCTCAATTAAAGATAGAAAATATTGTATTCATTACAATTAACCCCTTATTTGGTTTTTCAGTTTAATTCCAGTAAACAATATAATTTTATGCAAATGAGTGTTGAATTGAATTCTTTGATATATTTATATTAATTACTATATACAATTCATATCTTTGAGTTACTTACTAACTTAGACATCGGAGAGTCAACCTCCAGCGCTCCCCTTGGTCTCTAACTTCTTTTGCAAGTGATCGAAATCCAACAAATTGGTAGGTAGGTCGTCCAAATTTTGACATCAACAGTATTAATTATGATTTTATTTTTTAAAAAAATGAATTTTTATTTTTGATTTTATTTCAACAAATGACATAATAAAACATGAATTTTGGTTGTAAAATTTAAAATATTTGATATTTTAACTTTAATTGGAATATTTTTTGTCTAAGTGTAATATTTTAAATTTGAAGAGTTCAATTGTTACACGCCTACAAACTTCAGGGAGTCTAAGTATAATTTATTAACAAATATACTAACGGATATTAACGGTAGGATGTTTACGTATTACGCGCATACAAAGTTCAGGGAGTTTGTGTGTAATACTTTAAATATCAAGGGTCTAAGTGATTAAATGACAAACTTCAGGGGGTTTTGGTATAATTTTTCCTAAGTTTTATGGAGTGGGATTGTAGGTAGAGGATTTAAAAGGATTGAAGAATGTTACGCGCCGCAAATGGAAATGGTCTAAAATTGACCTGGTCTGATTAATTACAGCTTTTAGGATCTTCAAAAAGAAAAAAGGAAGAGCTAGTATCCCCTGACCGAGGCATAGCTTTTTCTCTTTTTGATGTTGGTGGCAAAGTTCCATTAACGTCATTCTAGATTAGCAAGAAACCGTGCATTGCATGGGATTTACCCCTTCCACACACCCCCCCCTAAAAAATATATATATATATATATATATATACAAATGTTATCCTCTCCAAACCTCTATAATCCTTTTCCTAGTCTAAGAGTGATTGAGAGAATACTAAGAGATTCAATAGATAGAGAAGGTGGGAATTTAAATATATGGAAATGTGAAGGAGAGAAGTTAAATAGATGGAAGTGCAAAAGAAGTTTGTTAAGTTTGTCAAAAAGATGAGAGAAGTGGTCAGTGGGAGAGGGGGGAACTTCTTTCCAAACCATCTCCCTCACAACTTCATTGTGTTATTTGTCTAGGTAGATATTTGAGTTCAAATCTTCCCAGGACCTACACATCAACATCATTGTAGGTGGTGTAAGTATATGATAACTGTATGCAACCCACAAAAAAAAAGGTGTATATAGTATACTTTGTCAATGCACTAAAGTCAATCCAACTCATCAAACTAAACAGAGCAGATGTAAATAGAATTGAAAAATTATCAGACTTCATTTTACTTCCAGAAATAAAATATTTGGAGTACCTCATCCAGTATGTAAAGTGGTGCTGGCTTGAAGAGAAGCAATGCCAAAATAAGGGAAAGTGCGAGTAGAGATCTTTGCCCTCCACTAAGTTCTGACAAGGACTGTTTCCAGACACTTCCAAATGCAACACGAACTTCAAGACCATCTAAGAAGCTGCATCCCTCAGGAGGTTCTAGCTTTGCCATCGTGCCAGGTAACAAAGTAGAAAATATAGATCCAAAATCACTGAAAAGATGTAAAGCTTTTTTTTAAGTATAGTAAAATATCAAATATCAAAAGATGGAAGAACCAATCAAAATATGAAGATTGTGTATAATATCAATTAATTCGATTCTTTAGGGGGACTAGCAACATGAAAGAATGAACTCACTTATTAACTTTAACCCAAGTAACTTTCAGTGTCTCCTTCTTCTTCTCATCAAGCTCTTCAATAACCATCTTGATTTTCGACTTGTCATTCTATGAATGATGCCCAGCATAAGTAAAGAGAAGTTCCAACATTAATGGTATCTAAAATGAACCATAACTAACCTCAATAATGTTTTTCTTAGATATCAAGTCATTGTACTCATCTTCTGCTTTCTCAAACATCGCCATCACTTTCTTGTTCACCCTTTTCTCAAGGCTTCAGAAGAAACACAGAAATATCAAATGATTTCAATAATGTCGCTTTGCTATTTTGGTTTTGTAGATGATAATTTTAGCAAATTAAGAAAAAATAAATGGTAAAATCCGTGAAAAAAGATGCGATGTTCCTTACCCAGATTGTTCAGATTGAAGCTTTTCATATTCTTCCCTTGCCTTTCGAGAATCACGGGATTCAAAATCATAATCAGTCCCGCTTCTTCCAAAAAGCTGCTTCTCAGATGTGATCCAAGCATGCTTCTCAATTAATTTCTCGACCTTCAAAGAACAATCTCTTCGTTCCAGCTCCATCCGTTTAACCTACAACACATCAAAGAAATGAAAAGAAGATCACCAACCATTATGTAGTCTCGACATCAAGAATCCAAATGACTCAATTAGTAATATACCTCATTTTCCATCTTCTTCCTCTCAAGAATTGTCTCACTAATTTTTTGTTGAAGTTTCTGCTGCTCCTGAAGGATGGCACTGATTTGCGAGTCACATTCCTTCATCTTTGTGCGGGCCAAGTTGAGCTCAGATTCAGCCTGACTATGATCATTTCTTAATGAAGCAACCTGCAGTAAGAAATGGAAAGTGACTTTTTATTGTAGTTTTTGGAACAGTTCAACGATATTTAGTAGAATTACTAATAGCGAAACTAACTGTAAATACATTTACCTTGATCTTATGTGCATTCACTTCTGAAGTAAAATTATTAATCTGCTCGTTCAAACAAACTAATTGACTCTCCAAAGATGCTTGCTCCTGTTTAACTGCTTCCATTTCCATAATGAGCCTCTCCCTTTGATTGTCATGCCCCTGCAAAGATGGGGAATCAAGTCGATACGAATTCCGAGCTACTACGTATTGTATCCAATAAGAAACAATGTTGGGTTACAATGATCTAAAGTACAATTTGCACAAACTGCTGACACCTGATATCAGATAAAGTACACATCCTATTCAGAGCAAACTAGTTAAATGTTTTAAAGTTGACAAAAGAAAAAACAACATACTATACAAAATTTACAATTAAACTATGATAACTAAGAAAAATTTTGGATTGTGCTTGTAGAAACTCAACACAGACAAGTAAAAGACAGACAGAAGTTATTCATTGTGTCCATATATTCCTTGATCAAACTTCCACTTTTACATGTCACCATGCAACAATAGTTGCACTTGATTTAGCTAGAAAACTTGCAACTGAAGCAAATGTGCATATAAGACCAGTAGGACATGACCATACAAACGTCCAAACAGCATGCAAAACGGATTTCAAACAAGCAGTATCAGGTGGACTCAACCTAAATTTCACCCTATAACTCATGACCTGTTCCTAGAAAAAGTATATAACAGACAGTGACGATTAAGCACTTGCAATAAACTATGCAAATACCACAAAAACTGTTCTACCTATTCAGTTACCTCTCACTCTAGACTTAAACTTCAAAAAATGTAAATCACCAACATGCAATCCTTTTCAACTACAGCACTCCCCATACAATGAGCACTCCAAAAATATTAAGAAATGTGGATTATTAAAACCTCCCTAGTGAACTGAGGATGGCGCTGACCTGCTTTGGTGCTTCTAACCTAACACTGACCATCATGTAAACATTTCCATAACTGACAATGGTGAATCGTGTAACTAGGTGCTAATACATCCGTAAATGCCATCATTAGCACCCCAAGGGCATTACTGGAATTTCAGTAAGAGATAACATGAGGATCATGCATTTGAACCTTAAGATATATTTGTTGTTACATGGGAGGGGGTGGCTGACAAATATATCTTAAGCATTATAGACTTGAAAAACCTACCTTGAGATCTTTCGAAGCTGACTGCATTTGAACCTTGATTGCCTTAATCTTCTTCTCTAAATCTTTGAGCCTGCTCTCACGACTATTGGCATGTTCACAAATGGACTTTTCAAGCAATGAGACTTTACTTACCCAATTTTCATACGAAATTTGCTTTTCTTGGGCAGAGGATTTTGCTTCTGCAAGCTCCAGTTCAATCTTATGCACTAGTTCACCGAGCTGCATGACTCCATAATCCATTTATTAATATTAATATTTACAATAGTAATAGCTGAAGTAATACAGCACTGACAAAAGAGGCATCATGATGAATGACATATACATAAAGGTACCTTATGATGCTCATTTTGCTCAGCCCTGCTCTGAAATAAGGAAAGGTCATATGACTTCAGTTCCAACTGTGACCTTAGGTCTTCAAACTTTTTTTGAAGAGGAAGGAGCTCATTAATCTGAATGTCAAAACAAGAAATACAACAGAAAAATTAACACCAGAGAAATAATTGGTTGCATGGAATTAAATGTGTATGAATTACAAATCCAAGTGTTTCCAGGTGTCAATTACAAGTAAAATAATAGGATATAGTAGCTGTGGGCATTCATCACTGAATCACATCTCACATGCCAGGACAACAAGGCAGTGACAAGATCCATTTGCCAATATGAACACTCCCAATCCACAAGCATTTAGAAAGATCAAGGCGTATCAGAGATATCCATTGGTAATAATGTCCATAGCTGCAGCTACTCCAAAAGATACATCGGCTCAACATTAAAATCAGTAATGACTGCTGATTGTTCTCATGATTGCAAATGACAAAGCTCAGACACGATATATGTGAGTATAACTATATGGCCACAAAGTTTGAACCATTGTATATGTGCTGTACAAATTGGTTGACGTCCAAAAGATTGCTTTCGTCAATGAATGAAATTTCAAACAAATTCACACATTCATCACAAAGATCTTCCGATGAACAAGAAGATCCCACCTAATTTGCGAAGGACAATGTGTTTTTTTGTATTTCATTATGCTTTACCTGTTTCCTTCAGTTATGTTATGCGGTGAGTATCTGTGAGCTTGTGTGGGAAAAAGAGAGACACAGAGAGATTGCATTATTAGAAGTCAACCTTAGCATCAATTTCTGATAGGCACTTCTGATGAAAAGAGAGTTTGGATTCAGCCTCCGCCAAAGCATGAAGTTGCCTTAACAGATCACCACCACCCCTGCAGTGATAAATTACTGATTTAGGAGTTCAGATGCTATGTCAGACGCAAATAGTTAAAACGTCAACCGGTAACACTGAATATGGTTTTGCCTCAGACTTGGGACAAACAGATGTACATCAAACCACAAACAATTGCAGCATTAGGAAAATACACTTGCACAAAAACAGTAAAACAAAAGAACAAGCACATTATTCCGTACTTGCGACTACCACCAGTTAGAAGTCCACTTGGCTGAAATATATCACCTTCAAGAGTGACACTTGGGTTGCCAATTTCCCTATTAAAAGCAACCTACAAACCATTGACCATAGTATAAATAAGATAACACACCCTTAGGAAAGTAAAAAGGAAAAAAATAAAAGTTCACCATTATTGATGGAACTAGATGATAAAGAAAGCAAGCATGTACATTAAGAAAAAGATTTCAACAGAGTCCAGTTTTCCAATGACTTGCATGGTTTATACATGTTCATATCGGTTCAAAAGCACGCAAGCTACCAGGTTATAAAGGGACAAAACTCCAAGTTAGCCTCCCAGACCATATCAAACAATCAATTTTCCAAAAATAGTGTGATTTAATAAAAGCTATCAAAACAATCCCCATATCTTTCTAGCAAAATCAATGATCCCTCCATCTTTTTCAAAAAGCGCGACATACTAATACATAATAGCCATGCTAATCCTAATTTTAATACCAGCAATGGAGTTATCAACACACTTATCAAAGCCCAAAAAAAATGAAGTGACAGCTCTAGAAGATATGAAAACATAATTGAATTGATATACATGGAATATACTGCAACATAGGTACACCTGTCACAGTAGCAACAACTGGCACCAAACACCACCACATTGCCATCTCCACCGCTCCAATCATCACTGCCACAATATCACTGCATCTGTGCCAGTGTACCTCATGACACTATTGCCATTGCTGACACCAATGCCACCACACACTAATACCGATTAACTTTCACCTCTAGCAAACCACTGCTACTTTGGTCTATAAACACCACAACCTAAAATGCTCCAATTGTCACCTTCACCAGATTTTTATTCCTTCTCTATTTCTATTTTTCTGCAAACCCAAACTTCAACTGGCCAATTACCACAACATGCAGTGCAGGCATCAAACTTATAAGGGAGGTGTAAGGTTGATCCACACCAAGATACCCTTTCTATAACATAGAATAACGAACAAATTTTGCAACCATTACAAAAATTACCGCTGGTTAAAAAAATATTGTTTATCTTAGTATTATGAAGGTTTCAAAAAACCAAGGTTATACCATGTAGATGTTTAAATCTTAACGAGAACCACAGCCCGAATAGTAATCAGTAATCAGGTTTGGGCCGTCTTACTTAAAATCAAAATTACAGAATCCAGAAAAGACTTTCTAAGTTTAAGCTCATTGACCAGCACAATCTCAATATAATCCAACTAATATGACACAATCAGTTCCTGTGTTTACATTCCATCAAAGCAAATATCATGATACTGCACAAAGTTTTTGATTAAACCACAGCAGTCCAGTGAGCTCAAGGACATATAAATTAAAATTAAGCACTAACAACAGTGTGCAAAGGGAAAAAAGAAACCCTAAACATAGCACCAATGCAAACATTTAAATTATGCAATCTACAAGGTAACAGTTAGTGCAAAAGTATCATCTGGCTCAAAAATGGCATAGCCAAAGCCGTTAACAGAAGACAAACTTACCTCTCGTGCAGCATCAATAGTTTTGCAAACAAAGGTTGAGCCAAACACATAATCCATTGCATTCTGCAAGATACATATACCTTCTTCAGAAATATGTTAATAATCTGATAGATAACATGATGTTCTAATTATCCATGCAGTTCTAGTAAATAACTAAAAATGATTAACAAGAATAAAGATGAATGTGCCATGAACTTCTAACATGGATGTCGTTGAGTAATCAGATTAATAACTCTCCAAGTCCAAGAGCATTGCCATACCAAAAGTTCAATTAGCAACAAGCAAAGACATAACTAATAGATTATATGGAAGCAAACCTTCAGTTCCTCATCATATCCAATCAAAGAAAGTGCCACTTCAGCATTCTCCTTACCAACCTGAATTTGCAACATAATGATCTTCTGATAAACATACCAGGTGTGGGATATAAAAAATTTATAGAGAAGCCAAGAACAAAGCCTAACCAATCTAAAAGCAGCATTTTTAACTCTACTGGGGACAGGATGGCTTTGAATTTTGTTTAGAGGGATAATTGTCACTCTTCTTTGAAGTCCACCACTTTGAAGAAGCTGTTTTCCTGTGTTTTCCGTGTCCACCACAACATTAAACAACTTCCCACCCGCAGCAACCTGCACAAGGTTTCAGTAAAGAATCCACATAAGAATTTGTTATTGCAATAACTTAAAACTGGCAAACAAACAGANAAAAAAAATGAAGTGACAGCTCTAGAAGATATGAAAACATAATTGAATTGATATACATGGAATATACTGCAACATAGGTACACCTGTCACAGTAGCAACAACTGGCACCAAACACCACCACATTGCCATCTCCACCGCTCCAATCATCACTGCCACAATATCACTGCATCTGTGCCAGTGTACCTCATGACACTATTGCCATTGCTGACACCAATGCCACCACACACTAATACCGATTAACTTTCACCTCTAGCAAACCACTGCTACTTTGGTCTATAAACACCACAACCTAAAATGCTCCAATTGTCACCTTCACCAGATTTTTATTCCTTCTCTATTTCTATTTTTCTGCAAACCCAAACTTCAACTGGCCAATTACCACAACATGCAGTGCAGGCATCAAACTTATAAGGGAGGTGTAAGGTTGATCCACACCAAGATACCCTTTCTATAACATAGAATAACGAACAAATTTTGCAACCATTACAAAAATTACCGCTGGTTAAAAAAATATTGTTTATCTTAGTATTATGAAGGTTTCAAAAAACCAAGGTTATACCATGTAGATGTTTAAATCTTAACGAGAACCACAGCCCGAATAGTAATCAGTAATCAGGTTTGGGCCGTCTTACTTAAAATCAAAATTACAGAATCCAGAAAAGACTTTCTAAGTTTAAGCTCATTGACCAGCACAATCTCAATATAATCCAACTAATATGACACAATCAGTTCCTGTGTTTACATTCCATCAAAGCAAATATCATGATACTGCACAAAGTTTTTGATTAAACCACAGCAGTCCAGTGAGCTCAAGGACATATAAATTAAAATTAAGCACTAACAACAGTGTGCAAAGGGAAAAAAGAAACCCTAAACATAGCACCAATGCAAACATTTAAATTATGCAATCTACAAGGTAACAGTTAGTGCAAAAGTATCATCTGGCTCAAAAATGGCATAGCCAAAGCCGTTAACAGAAGACAAACTTACCTCTCGTGCAGCATCAATAGTTTTGCAAACAAAGGTTGAGCCAAACACATAATCCATTGCATTCTGCAAGATACATATACCTTCTTCAGAAATATGTTAATAATCTGATAGATAACATGATGTTCTAATTATCCATGCAGTTCTAGTAAATAACTAAAAATGATTAACAAGAATAAAGATGAATGTGCCATGAACTTCTAACATGGATGTCGTTGAGTAATCAGATTAATAACTCTCCAAGTCCAAGAGCATTGCCATACCAAAAGTTCAATTAGCAACAAGCAAAGACATAACTAATAGATTATATGGAAGCAAACCTTCAGTTCCTCATCATATCCAATCAAAGAAAGTGCCACTTCAGCATTCTCCTTACCAACCTGAATTTGCAACATAATGATCTTCTGATAAACATACCAGGTGTGGGATATAAAAAATTTATAGAGAAGCCAAGAACAAAGCCTAACCAATCTAAAAGCAGCATTTTTAACTCTACTGGGGACAGGATGGCTTTGAATTTTGTTTAGAGGGATAATTGTCACTCTTCTTTGAAGTCCACCACTTTGAAGAAGCTGTTTTCCTGTGTTTTCCGTGTCCACCACAACATTAAACAACTTCCCACCCGCAGCAACCTGCACAAGGTTTCAGTAAAGAATCCACATAAGAATTTGTTATTGCAATAACTTAAAACTGGCAAACAAACAGACTATACTAGTGGATTATATCCTGCATTGCCAACCTCTAAGGCAGTCATCGTGGAGCTATCCTTCACTCTAATGAGTTTTGCAACCACACCTTTCACCCTCGATCGTTCAAAATTCTTCACAGGGTCACGGTATGTGAAGTAAACATTTGCGCATTGTGAAGAAAGAATACGAATTTGATCTTTCAACTTCTGCACCATCTCTAACTCAGCCATGCGATCCTGAAACGTATTTAGCAATTTGTAGATACCAAAAAGAGATGTTTGAACCATTTTTTCTTAACAGGAACCGCCAGTGAAAGAGCATACCTTTTGCAACACTTCCATCTGCCCCTCGTCGTAAGAGAGAGATTCCAAAGCTGTTTTAACTTTTTCCACCTCTTTCCTTTTGACACTAAGTTCATTCTCTACAGCAACAGCTTCTTTACGCTTTGACATTAGCTGTTCTTTTTTCTCTTTCAGCTCCTTTTCACAGTGGCTTATTTTTGTTTTCAACTGTTTCACTTCTGTTTCTGCTGAGCCAACCGCTACTCTAGCATCACCTAGTTGATCTTCAAGACATTTCTCCTCATTTCCACTGCTCTTACCAGCTAGTACCCCCTACCCATTGTGGCACCTTCTTCAGGACATGATATGGTATGGGTATGAATGCAAATAATATGGCATGCCCAATTCAACCCAAAAACTAGAAAATATGTGCATCTCTACCTGGTACTCTTTCTCATTCTCTTCCAGGCTCTTAGAAAGCTCTGCAGCTCTATTTTTCAAATCAGCTGCTCCATCTTCAGCTATTTTGACAGCAAAGGCCCTCTCTTCTGCAGACTGCTTTAATTCTTCAATATTTCTCTCAATCTAGCCACATCAACACATGAAATCAGGATATGCACTATGAAACATAAAGAAAACAGCTTCATCACTGAAAGATTAAAAGCAGAATGCACATTTTGATCTATGAGAACCCAAGTCAACATGGGGCCTACTGGGCCCCTGATACCTTTGTAGCATTATCTTTCTCAGCCCTGAGACTTTCCTCTTGATTTTTCAGTACGGATGCTTCCCTAACAAGGTCACGAGAAAGAGCATCAACTTTTTCTGACAAACTTTTAACTTCGCCGCCCATACTAGCTTCTTTCTCAGCGGTCAATTGTGAAACTTTGGTTTCCATCTCTTGAATTTCCTCACGCATCATCCCTGTATTATCATCAATCTCAGAAATTTTGGCCTTTATTTCTTCTACCCCCTGAATTGTGTTATCTCTGATTTTTTCTGCATGAACATACTCATAAGCAATGCAAAACCTTTTCAGTCGATCTAACTCGGCATTGCCATGTGCCCATTGCATGTATTGCATCCTTTCTTTCCGGAGCTTCTCCAAAGCAGGAAGTATCTCCTGGTCAAGAAGCTTGTCAATCTCATCTACCTTGCTCTGCTTTTTCTCAAGCGTTTTCAAAGCAGCCTCTTTCTTTGTTTCATACATTCTTGTCCCAGCAGCCTCTTCAAGCATGGATAAAATTTCTGGAGGTTTCATGTTTAGGACTTTAGTGATACGCCCTTGCATTATAAGAAAATGTGGATTGTTCACATTGAGCTGCACTGAATGAAAAAGATTTTGCACTCGATTGGGCTGTGCAAGGTGTCCATTGATTAGGTACTTGTTCCTTCCACCAACTACAATCTGGAAAAAAGCAAAAAGACATCAAATATATTGAGTAGGTATGAACAATCATGACAACATTTCATCATTTTTTTCTGAGTAGACATAATTACAGAAAACAATTAACTTATTTCCCGACCAATTTATACCTTGGCAACTGTCTGGAAGCAGCTAGATACAATGTAAAGCACTGTGTATTAACTCAGACAGAATTGTGAAGTACAAGAAGTAGAAAGGCTCCAAAAAATTACATTACTATTTTTTCATGAATAAAAATAAAATGTCTTGAATCACAATTGTTTTTTTCACTATTAAAATTCATGAATTGAAAACCAAAGCCATACCCTAAAGGAGCTCAAAAATACCTGACGGGTCACTGTAATTTCTTGGCAATCCTCATATCCTAAAGGACTCCGATTCCTATCTGAATTATCAAACACAACTGACACCGTGGCCTTGGTTATCCCAGCTTGCCCTTGTTTGTACACCAGCTCCTGAAGATTCGAAGCCCTAACCTGCTGCAAATTTGTAATACCCAAAACAAAACAAATCGAATCGAGAATGTTCGATTTGCCTGACCCATTCAAGCCAGTGATGGCATTGAAAAAGGGATCGAAGCCCGGTACCACCGTCCTCGTCGCGTAGGACTTGAATCCCTCTAAGCATATCTCCTTAATGTGCATTGTAACTCGGACTGAAAAAAAAATGAAGCAAGTAACCAAAGAAAGGCCAAATCAAAACCAAAGAAACATAAACAGAGAAAGTGCATAGTATAGAGTGGCGTACCTGGAATTGAAGCGAGAACTGGTGCCAAATTTAAACGGGAGGGTAGATAGTGAAGAATGTGGGGGCTGTTAGGGTTTTGGAAATCGAAACCCTAGAAAGATGGGGAAGAAGGTGAGTGGGTATCGAAGATCGAAACCCTAGTTTGGAAGCGAAATCAGCAGATTTCAGAGAGTGATTTGATGGTGGAATTGCAGAGTCCAGAGGCGGGAAATTAAAATTTGGACCCCGACTTCAAGTAGGTCGAATATTCTTTAGGGCGAATTGCATTTTGTACCCTAAAAATTTTCAAAATTTTCACTTTAAATGATTAATTTTTTATATTACATTTACATTCTTAATATATCAAAAATATTATAATATAATAGTTCTATTAATTTTTTTTTAATGTCAATGAGTTAATTTTTTACAAAAAAAATAATAAAACTAACAGAAGGGTTATATTATAATATTTTTGATACATTAAAGATATAATATAAAAAATTTAATCTTTAAAGTACAAAAAAATTAAAAACTTGAAATCTTTTGAGATAAAGTGCAAAAAGCACTACTCTGTAGCAGGCTTTTGGGCTTGGGTTCTGATTTGGGCTTGCTACTCAGCTTATGGGCCGATCCTTTGTCAACATAATGGATCAATGATTATACACAGCTACTGACCGGATAGAATGCATTTTGTGCTCGTGGAAGTGTTTTTTTATTTATTTTTTAATTGCAATTAAAGGGATTCGAATTAGTATACATGCACCTCAAGTAGTCTCTTTCACAGTTCAATTAAAAACAAGTTATACACGGCAAGACTAAAGAATTAATTAATCTGCCCCCAAGAAAATTACCAAATTTCAAACTTATGTTTGAATTTATAGATCATTTATGTTTCTAATGGGCTACCCATTAGATTGTGCTGGTGGAAATGTTGCGGAATTGACAACTAACTAATGGGGTTGATGCTCAATCCAGTCCGCCAATCTGATATAAACCGAGTTTTACTGGATTTGATTCATAATTGGGTTGACTGATCAAATAATACCTCCTCCAAACTAACCGAAACCAGCAATAATAGGGATATAAAACCTGAAGTTCTGTCGGGGGGCTGTTTGGTTGCCTGCAAATTTCTATGGCTTGGTTCTTTGTGGTTGAATCTGTTTTCTTTCTTCAACATAAACCTAGTTTGCTTTGGGCAGCAATAGTCTAATTCATAACAATTGTTCGAATTGTATTTAATAAGCATTAGTTTTTTTTTTTTTTTTTAAATTTGGGGAGAGAGAAGGGGAGGGTGGAACATGTGTATAGTTGAGTTTGGGTCATCAAACTTAATAAAAACGACTGGAAGATTAATTTGGTCTTGACTCGAACCCTTTAAAACTAAATTCACAGTCGGCAACTTTGTATCCATATCGCATAGGATAATGACAAGATGCTGAAGCATTGCAAGGGGGGGAGTAGGGGAGAAGGTGTATTTGACACACCAAGAATTAGCAATGGAACCATTTTGGCCCTTTGACTTGTTACATTTGCTTGACAATTCCACAAGAAGTTGTGCTATTCATTAAAGAATAAGACCATACTACTAACTACTATAACAATAAAAACACAAACTCTGTTTACTAAATACAATGAAAAGGAAAGCAAATCAAACACCACCAACTCCATCTGCAATCTCTCTCAAAGAAGGAGGGGCTTGATGAGTAGGGAACACTACATGATCATAAAGAACTCCTGCAACAGCTGCACCAATCAAGGGTCCAACCCAATAAACTGCCTGGTTCTTGAAACTTCCTCCGACAACGGCAGACCCAAACGAGTATGCAGGGTTCATTGACCCACCGGTGAAAGCACCCGAGGCTAAAGCGTTGGCTCCTGCAATAAATCCGATAGCCAGAGGGCCAATGGCACCCAGTGAACCGCGTCTCGGGTCACTGGCTGCGTAGACAGTGTACACCAAAGTGAATGTCATCACTCCTTCCAATACGGATGCTCCAAAGCCAGTCATTTCTTGTGGGATTGCATGGGAGGGAACATGCTGCCAAAAATTTCAACCAGTTATGTTTAGTTAAGACACATTTTCAACTATTAACCATTTGATGATCGAACAAAGAACTACGAATAAACCAGCACGTACTAAGTTCGAGTTTTTTTAACCAAAACTTCTGATGCGTGTGTTTAGCAAGGGATTCTGTATATCTAAGATTTGTGTTGCTACTGTTTGAGGAATCGAATACCCAAAAAGAATTATAACTATCAACATAAATGAAGAGTTTAATTGAATTTCCATACCTGTCCAACTGTAGTGACTTTCAAGAGAAGGCAAGCCATGACAGAACCAAGCATCTGAGAGATCCAATAGCAAATTGTCATTGGTATAGTAATATGGCCTCCAACGGCCATTCCGAAAGTCACCGCCGGATTCACATGGCCACCGGAAACATTGGCAGAAATAAATACTGCCACCGACAATGCAAAGGCACTTGCAATGGCAATTGCCACCAGACCAGAAGGATCTAATGTTGCATCCGCCATCATTTTCCCTGTAACATAGCCAACCTCGTTACACAAACAAATTTAACAGGCTGTTACATATACGAAACGAGAACGATGTTGAGCAATTTGCATGTTATTTCCTTGGAATGTTTATAAAAAACACCAAATTTCAGGACTTACGTGATGACATAGAGGATCCGACAGCAGCGAAGATAAAAATGAATGTGGAGATGAACTCTGCAAGATAGGATCTGAGAGCATTGGGACTAACACAGTGCTCTAAACGGGATTTTAGTGACGCCATTGCCAGTAGAAGACGAAGAAGAACTGCTTTTTCAAGTTATCAGAAATTATGTTCTGCTCTGTTTCTGTAAAAATAAATCAGTGAATCCTTTGCAATTGAAGACTCTTTGTATGACACAAAAGGAGGGAGAGGATGGCTATATAGTGAAGATCAGGAAGTTATGAATCAAAAGGGTTGCAACTTGCAACGTTTCAGCCTTTCGGGAGGGAGGCTGATATTTCAAATTTTAACCGCCATTCCACGTGGCTTTTGGTGTATGGTGGCATATTAGCTCCGGCGGTTTTTCCTATTATATTGATTTTGTAATGTTCAAAAAAGAAAAAAACTGTCATTATAATTAACGAACCAAAAATAGTTGGGATTAAAATTATAATTCCAACTATAATTCCCCCACTTGTCCAAAGTGTGTAGATTAATGGTGATTTTGGTAGATTTATATTATTATTCATAAAGAATAAATTAGGACTTTTTTCCTAAATTTTCATTGTTTTTTTTTTATTGTCATGAAAAAGAGGAAAGACGACTAATAGTTAGTAACCCTCCTGAGCGCGATCATGGAGTAAATATTGAATACAACGATGATATGATAAAAATATCAAGTGAGCAAAGTGAATCCCGTTTAGATAATTATTTACTTATATGAAGGGTTGATTATTAATTTTAACGGAACTTATTTACTTATTTATTAATGATATTATTAATTGGTGATACCATATTAACATTGTTACGTGGTATCATTGTTGTAATGAATATTTTTTTGTGATCATGAGGATCGTTCATTGTAAAATATTCGATTTAAATCATAATAACTAATCCAAAATGATAGTCTTGTCACCACAACACTACCAAAACTAAATAGTAAGTCGTGTTACATCCATGAATCAAACCGTACTTAATAACCCTAAACTTGTATAACTTACCACTAAACTACCAAGTCCCGGCGGTTAAATTTCCAGTGTTGAAGCCAATGTTATTTACGACAATTTTGGNCCCAAACGAGTATGCAGGGTTCATTGACCCACCGGTGAAAGCACCCGAGGCTAAAGCGTTGGCTCCTGCAATAAATCCGATAGCCAGAGGGCCAATGGCACCCAGTGAACCGCGTCTCGGGTCACTGGCTGCGTAGACAGTGTACACCAAAGTGAATGTCATCACTCCTTCCAATACGGATGCTCCAAAGCCAGTCATTTCTTGTGGGATTGCATGGGAGGGAACATGCTGCCAAAAATTTCAACAAGTTATGTTTAGTTAAGACACATTTTCAACTATTAACCATTTGATGATCGAACAAAGAACTACGAATAAACCAGCACGTACTANTTTGACTTGTTACATTTGCTTGACAATTCCACAAGAAGTTGTGCTATTCATTAAAGAATAAGACCATACTACTAACTACTATAACAATAAAAACACAAACTCTGTTTACTAAATACANTTTGACTTGTTACATTTGCTTGACAATTCCACAAGAAGTTGTGCTATTCATTAAAGTTTAAGACCATACTTCCAGCTACTATAACAATAAATGAAAAGGAAAGCAAATCAAACACCACCAACTCCATCTGCAATCTCTCTCAAAGAAGGAGGGGCTTGATGAGTAGGGAACACTACATGATCATAAAGAACTCCTGCAACAGCTGCACCAANAATGAAAAGGAAAGCAAATCAAACACCACCAACTCCATCTGCAATCTCTCTCAAAGAAGGAGGGGCTTGATGAGTAGGGAACACTACATGATCATAAAGAACTCCTGCAACAGCTGCACCAATCAAGGGTCCAACCCAATAAACTGCCTGGTTCTTGAAACTTCCTCCGACAACGGCAGACCCAAACGAGTATGCAGGGTTCATTGACCCACCGGTGAAAGCACCCGAGGCTAAAGCGTTGGCTCCTGCAATAAATCCGATAGCCAGAGGGCCAATGGCACCCAGTGAACCGCGTCTCGGGTCACTGGCTGCGTAGACAGTGTACACCAAAGTGAATGTCATCACTCCTTCCAATACGGATGCTCCAAAGCCAGTCATTTCTTGTGGGATTGCATGGGAGGGAACATGCTGCCAAAAATTTCAACCAGTTATGTTTAGTTAAGACACNCCAGTCATTTCTTGTGGGATTGCATGGGAGGGAACATGCTGCCAAAAATTTCAACCAGTTATGTTTAGTTAAGACACATTTTCAACTATTAACCATTTGATGATCGAACAAAGAACTACGAATAAACCAGCACGTACGAAGTTCGAGTTTTTTTAACCAAAACTTCTGATGCGTGTGTTTAGCAAGGGATTCTGTATATCTAAGATTTGTGTTGCTACTGTTTGAGGAATCGAATACCCAAAAAAGAATTCTAACTATCAACATAAATGAAGAGTTTAATTGAATTTCCATACCTGTCCAACTGTAGTGACTTTCAAGAGAAGGCAAGCCATGACAGAACCAAGCATCTGAGAGATCCAATAGCAAATTGTCATTGGTATAGTAATATGGCCTCCAACGGCCATTCCGAAAGTCACCGCCGGATTCACATGGCCACCGGAAACATTGGCAGAAATAAATACTGCCACCGACAATGCAAAGGCACTTGCAATGGCAATTGCCACCAGACCAGAAGGATCTAATGTTGCATCCGCCATCATTTTCCCTGTAACATAGCCAACCTCGTTACACAAACAAATTTAACAGGCTGTTACATATACGAAACGAGAACGATGTTGAGCAATTTGCATGTTATTTCCTTGGAATGTTTATAAAAAACACCAAATTTCAGGACTTACGTGATGACATAGAGGATCCGACAGCAGCGAAGATAAAAATGAATGTGGAGATGAACTCTGCAAGATAGGATCTGAGAGCATTGGGACTAACACAGTGCTCTAAACGGGATTTTAGTGACGCCATTGCCAGTAGAAGACGAAGAAGAACTGCTTTTTCAAGTTATCAGAAATTATGTTCTGCTCTGTTTCTGTAAAAATAAATCAGTGAATCCTTTGCAATTGAAGACTCTTTGTATGACACAAAAGGAGGGAGAGGATGGCTATATAGTGAAGATCAGGAAGTTATGAATCAAAAGGGTTGCAACTTGCAACGTTTCAGCCTTTCGGGAGGGAGGCTGATATTTCAAATTTTAACCGCCATTCCACGTGGCTTTTGGTGTATGGTGGCATATTAGGTCCGGCGGTTTTTCCTATTATATTGATTTTGTAATGTTCAAAAAAGAAAAAAACTGTCATTATAATTAACGAACCAAAAATAGTTGGGATTAAAATTATAATTCCAACTATAATTCCCCCACTTGTCCAAAGTGTGTAGATTAATGGTAATTTTGGTAGATTTATATTATAATTGGAAAATATATATTATTATTCATAAAGAATAAATTAGGACTTTTTTCCTAAATTTTCATTGTTTTTTTTTATTGTCATGAAAAAGAGGAAAGACGACTAATAGGTAGTAACCCTCCTGAGCGCGATCATGGAGTAAATATTGAATACAATGGTGATATTATAAAATATCAAATGAGCAAAGTGAATCCCGTTTAGATAATTATTTACTTATATGAAAGGTTGATTATTAATTTTAATGGAACTCATTTACTTATTTATTAATGATATTATCAATTGATGATACCATATTAACATTGTTACGTGGTATCATTGTTGTAATGAATATTTTTTCGTGATCATGAGGGTCGTTCATTGTAAAATATTCGATTTAAACCATGATATCTAATCCAAAAGGATAGTCTTGTCACCACAACACTACCAAAACTAAATAGTAAGTTGTGTTACATCCATGAATCGAACCGTACTTAATAACCCTAAACTTGCATAACTTACCACTAAACTACTAAGTCCCGGTGGTTAAATTTCCATTGTTGAAGCCAATGATATTTTCGACAATTTTTGCAATATGGATTGGTTTTTCCACTTTCTTAAACGGATATGCCCCTTTGGTAGATTGGGTCCATGGGCTGTATAAAGGCCGGAGGCCCATATTGGCAGAGACCAACACATTGAGAAACAGAGTGCTGTGAAGAAACCCAAACTCTGAAGCCCACAAATAGGAGGCCTAACCGACACTTCTTCGATACCTCTTTCCGTGTAAATCCAAGTGGCAATTTTGACATCACCGGAGACGGCGAACGCAAATCGACACTGAACGCAAGTCGCCTATATATCACCGGGAAAAGGTGACACACTCTCTCTCTCTCTCACACACACACTTGGCTATGTCCCTGAAGATCAGAATCATTGTCACCGGTTATTTGAATATTAGTTATGCCCAAATGCATACGCAAGTTTATTGGTTGATCATTAGCATCCAAACAAGGAATTTAACAGTAAAAAGGATTTGAAATGTGCTGGTTTCAAATCCTTAGATTTAAATCAATGCCCCAAATCGAAACCCGCTTTTTTCAAATGCAACCTTGAAGAAACTAGCCTTTCTCTCTGTGGTAAGAGTGTAATAGATGGACTGTGAATAGTTTATTGCTTGGTACTGTGGAAGTTTGCTAGTTTTGTTGTGGACTCTGCTGCAGGAGTAGTCTATAGTCTTCCTCAATTGCTATATCTAATAATGCTAAACATGTTAACAATTTGTCATTCTAAACTAATAGGAATGCTTGGTTTTGTGTTAAGATTTAGATGTCCAATGATGTGGAAAATCCCAAAGCTGGCGAAGCCCAGAAAGTCCCAGGTGCCACTTCTACTTCCACTGACACCCAATCAACATGGTATAATGTCCTAATCCAACAAGCATCAGTGTATGGGATAGCTGCCGGGTACTGCATTTCAGCATCCTTGCTTTCCATAATTAACAAATGGGCTGTGATGAAATTTCCTTACCCTGGAGCACTTACTGCATTACAATACTTCACCAGTGCTGCTGGAGTCCTTCTTTGTGGGTGGTTCAGGTTTATAGAGCATGATCGGCTTGATCTTCTCACAATGTGGCGGTTCCTACCAGCTGCAATTATATTCTACCTGTCTCTTTTCACGAACAGTGAGCTCCTCCTCCATGCCAATGTTGATACATTCATTGTTTTCCGTTCAGCAGTCCCAATCTTTGTTGCAATAGGAGAGACACTCTACTTGCGCCAGCCATGGCCTTCTTTGAAGACTTGGTTCTCACTTGCCACGATCTTTGGTGGTAGTGTACTTTATGTCCTAACGGATTACCAGTTCACTCTCACGGCTTATAGCTGGGCATTGGCTTACTTAATAAGCATGTCCATAGATTTTGTTTATATCAAACATGTGGTCATGACCATTGGTTTAAACACATGGGGTCTTGTGCTGTACAACAATCTTGAGGCTTTGATGCTATTCCCTTTAGAGCTGCTAATTATGGGGGAGCTTAAGAAGATAAGGCATGAAATATCCGATGAGTCAGATTGGTACTCTTTTCAGGTGGTTTTGCCTGTAGGGCTATCTTGTTTGTTTGGCTTAGCCATCTCTTTCTTTGGGTTCTCTTGCCGGAGGGCAATTTCTGCGACGGGGTTTACTGTTCTCGGCATTGTGAACAAGCTATTGACAGTTGTTATCAATCTCATTATTTGGGACAAACATTCAACAATTGTTGGAACGGTGGGGCTACTGATCTGTATGATAGGTGGTATATTGTATCAGCAGTCTACCAGCAAAAAACCCAAGGATGTGAAAGAGGTGAAGACACAAGAGAGTGAAGAGGAACAACACAAGCTACTTGAAATGCAAAGCAACACAGAAAGAGATGCCAGCGAGAAGCAAGTCACAGATACAGAGGACGGAAAATAAGCAACGGAATTTTTGAAGGTAGTCTAATCACATTCTTTTGTTGCCTTCTTGTTAAAATCAATTCTGGGTATTCTACTGAGAGTTGAATACCAGGGTCCAATATTTGATGCCAATCCTCTGGAAACCTGGTTTGAGCAGAGTATTCATGGTGTCCAAGAAAAAAGAAGTGCATTAAGGAAAAATTTGTGACTAAAATCTCAGGTTCAGTCGGTCACAGAAGTGGTGGCTTGGTCTTACCCAACGTTTGGCTAGTTACCATGATTCTATTTTTTTTCGATAGTTGATTTCATTCTTGAACTTGTTTTACTGAATATGGAATTCGTTGTTTGGAGTTCAATAGGTTTTACTATTATTCTTGCGCTATTTTCCTGTAAAAGCACTTAAGTTTCCAAACTGTTGTATTAAAGCAAAATTGAGTAATATCAATATTACTCATTTCTAGTTATTTATTTGCCTCGAGTTTAATTTGATTTCTGTTTGATATGTAGAATTATTAATACAATTCTATTCATCCACATTGTTACACGAATAGACACTGGAAATAGAATGCATCCCGGGTAACCCATCGGGTAGAAGCTACCGCATTTTGTGCACATCCACTATATTACAAAGTCTCGTCTAGGGGGAGTTTGGAAAACGTCTGTACTTGTTAGAAGGAACCCCTGTTCCATACTTTGATTTTTTTTGGAATGAATATCCTAATCTCAACATAGATGGTATATTTTTGACCAGACTAGAGAGAGGGTTAATCGAGATGCGCTGAGTCGAACGCTCTGTTAAACCAAAAAAAAAAACCATGTTCTAAATGGACTACACACTTCATGCATCAAGCATGAAATATCAAATCATGAGTCCCAGATCACNCTAATCTCAACATAGATGGTATATTTTTGACCAGACTAGAGAGAGGGTTAATCGAGATGCGTTGAGTCGAACGCTCTGTTAAACCAAAAAAAAAACCATGTTCTAAATGGACTACACACTTCATGCATCAAGCATGAAATATCAAATCATGAGTCCCAGATCACTCTCTCTCTCTCTCTCTCTCTCACACACACACACACGTAAAATTGCACTCAACTCTGGCTGTTTGGCAAACATAGTAGACTTACATGAATTTTAACACAATCATATAAGAGTTATTTTTTCCTTTGCATTGTTCCAGACTAATGAACCAACCATTTTATCACAACATACAGGTGTAACTACTCACCCACAATTAAGCACACGTAAACATAAAGAAATTGCAATTAAGATTCATTTTTTCACATGTAACCCGTCAATTAATTTTGTTTCATTTATATTGATAATAATGTATGGTATGAAACGACACCTTAACAAGGAATCTGCACTGTTTAACAAAGAAAAACACAAGTTTTCTGCATCAGAATGAGTATAAACACTCGGTGTTCCTCATTGACTTCAGTATGAAGGCAACTCAAAACTTCTGATAAAATTGAGTCACTCATAAATACACCTCGCCCCGGGCTCCCAACACGTTTTCATCTTTTGAAGCATACCAGATGTGCTCTTCCCTGTTTACTTTTTCCTCAACAATGGTGAATCCTACAAAGCTTGCATTTCTAGATTTGTCTGCTCAATGCCATTTGCAGAGGATGGTGCAGAATCCTGGTTGTCACCAGCAGCATTCATCTCTTGGACAGGAGGAGGATTAACGATGGTCATTGGCATGGCAACATTGTCTGATAGACGTCCCTGCATCTCCCTGTGCTCCTGGCACAAGGCACACCAGTGCATGCAGCAGTGCACCATGCACGGGTCACATGGCGAGTTCTGCAGAGTCAGCAGAAATATGAGACTGCAAGCAAAAATGATAAGGTGACCACAATCACAACTTTCTAAAAGCAGGACAATCTACGAGGAGTGCAAGTGATAACATCTGAATGTACCCACAAAAGCAACACATAATGAATAATTATGAATGTAGTTCTGATATACACTAACTTGAAATTTGAATGAATAATACTCTGATCCTAGTGCCCCAATAAATGGTTACATATGTACAAATATAAGTTGCAACTTCAAAGATTGCAAGATGGACGAAGGTACTATAAAGAAACAAACTAGGAAGGTTGCGGGATTGGAGCAATAGAGCCAAAAATGAAGCAACACATACTCCACTGTTGGCCAGGTTTGTATCTTAAAAGGCCGATAAGTGGTAAAAAAAACATCAGCACGCATATCATATTTGCTGGGAAATGGAACTACACACAGTGAACTTTAGGTCTTAACATGAAACCCTCATCCAACTCAAACTAGCAAACAAGCAAAATATAAACCAAAGATGGGAGGCCTTGAGTTCGAGTCTCCTCCTTGGGGCAATCCACACAAGCTTATAAACAGATTTACTAGTCATAACCCGTGCCTGAAGACACAATGAAATATAAGATTTTAGCCAAAAAAAAATCAACCCCACTATACCAAATTTAAAATTAATTTCTTTGCTTATATCATTTAAAATTAATTTATACCTATTATTTTCTAAAAAATAGTATCAAAATTTTCTCAAAATGCATAACTCGATAATTTTTTTTCAACACACGATATGAAATAAAGTTGTGTTAAACTACAAATTAACTAAATATTAAATGATTGAACATTTGATATAATTGAGTAATGTGATGTTTTTTTAAAGGAAAAATGTATAGAGGATAAAGATTCAACTTGATAGCTGATTTATTATATAGATAGTTATACCAGGTGCATTGCTCTTGTGGGTCATCATTCACTTGGGGACTAGTAGGGTAGGCGGCACCAAGATTACCGTAATCCTCAATGAGGTACCTCATTGAGGAGGCTCAGCGTGTACTAACAAGTTCTTAATCCATTTTGTAAGTCCACAAGACCATTTCTTGTGTTTATAGAAGCAGGTGTCCCTGGTATCCACTTCTTTCATATTAAGATCACGACTTATAGATGTTCGATTGATCTCTCTGAACTCATGGGCTTGAATCTGCCGTTACCATAGGTACAAGAGCAACCACTCCTGACGATATAGGCACGGACACCCTTGGATAAAATAGACGTAAATAGTGCTGGTCATACCATGGGGTGACAGGACTTGTGGAAGAACCAAAACCAAGCCATCAGATTTCCCTAATTATTCCAATGACTAACCGTGTTAGACAGGGTCACAAAAACTCTGTTTCATTCATTTGTCTCTTTGACAAAGAAATTGGAGAATATCATTAATTAAAACACCATATCAGTTTAAAGTTGTCAAAAGTTTTTACATAGTAAAAAGATGCAAGAACATCAGTGAGTGCAATCTTTCGAGAGATAATATTGTGACTTGGACCATTTATCGTGAATAATAGTTGCAAATAAAAGTAAAGAGAAATTTTAATACCTTGAGATGATATTTCTTTTGCAGTGACTGCCGAAAGAGACCAGTGTATATTCCACACATCCACCAACTAAACAACAACCCCTCACATAAAAGGAAGGATGTCCTTGGGTCAATACCATGGAATGCTGCTGTGGCTGCTGCAAGTGCAATGCCACCCTCAACAAATATGGCATGACAGATGCATGGGGTGGTCCAGGGAGTATCTTCTCTCAATCTCTTAACATTACGTCCGAAGAGAACACATGGGCAAAAAAGTCCTGTCCAGCCTGTACAAGAATAATGAGCTCAAATTTGCAAAGAAATACATAGGAGACATCAAGTTTCAAGCATGACAGAAAGACAAGTTGGTATTCATTACAAGGGCAAAAGAGTATGAACACAAATTTCAAAAGTAAACAAATAACAATGCTATGCGAGTGCTTGGCAAACCAAAGGGACACATGAAACTTACAACTTTCTGTGTTTTCAGCACAGCCAAATATCCCAGTCGTCCAAGGTTCATCAGCAGGAGGTTCAAAGCTTTCAGGTAAAGGCTGCCCACATTCATTACACTTCCGACAAGCCAACTGCCAGTGAACCACAAGTGAATATTTAACTAACATAGAGAGGTTTGTCATGAATTGAATATGTCCAAGTATTTTGATTTCTTCACGTGGATGAAACCTTTCAATGCAGGGTCTGACTTTGAGAATAAAAAACATAAGTACAAGAATCAGAAATAGTTAATACCATGGAGATCATCATGTCCAACAATTTCAGCAGTCATCTGCAGTATTTATACAACTCACAAGCCACATTTGAGTCCATATTTGGAACTAGCTCTAGATGCTTAAAGTGAAAGTCAAAAGTGTACATGGTCATAGCACAAAAAACACAAAAGTTGTCAAAATCCTTAAGAGATATGTTGTTGGTTGACTACGGAGTTCCATGCTCCATGAAAGTCCATATGCAAGCCCAAGGAAGTGTGTGTGTGGAAGAGAGAGAGAGAGATTCTCTACATGAAAGGATGATTTTTAGTGCTTCTAGCATTTAAGTATGCCCCTCCTCTAATTCAGACATTTATTAAGGCGTGAAAAAGCTCTAATGTATTATGTCATCTGCATGCCAAAAAGACTGGTTGTAAATCAGCAGGAGTACAAACACTCAGAATTGGTTATGCACTTGTGACTTGACCAAATTATTAATTATGAAAAATCTCTGAAAACAAAATGCTTAATCAGTGCCATCTCAATTTTAACGTCTTGTTAAATTCGACTCAACACAATTTGAACAGAGGTTGACCCAATCTACTTGTTGGCCACATTTATTCTCTGCTCCAATTGGTTTGTTAAAAGTCAAATCATCAATTAAAAAGTTGAGGACTTTCATAAAAATGTGAGGACACTAATAGTGCAAAGCAACAAGGCATAAAATGATTTAAACAAGAGAAACCACATCTTCCTAAAGATTGTTGCCTCCTATTACTGCCTGATTGCTATATCCAGTTCAACACAGTGAATTTTTTTGTCATTTTTTAACTGAAAGATCTTCAGTGAAACACTACAAATGATATGAAAAACATAAGTCGATGTGATACCCACAGAGGGTATTTACCATTGTACAACGACAGGATTACATTATCAAAATCATACTAACTAGTTGTAGGCAGCTAGCGAGTCAGCCTAGAGGTTTGAATTCCATTATCTATGATGCAAAAACTAAAGGGAAAAAAAAATTAATCATATTTAGATATATCAACAAATGTCTGATTATGCATTTTCACGAATATGTTTATTTCCAACGAGTTTACTGATTGTATAAATTTCGGATCCAATTCAGACTAATTATCATAGCTGAGGCTTGATCCCCTACACTATCGTGTGCAGCAGATCACAAAATTGCAATGTCTCCTAAATTAGCCTGTGAAAAAGCTATCAAATCACGTAATTTCACCAAACATATGCCTAAAATCTAATTTTCTGCATCATCCCTAACGTTCTAGTCAATATTCCCACAATTACTACAAAACCAAAGAGGCAAATCCATAGACTACAAAACTGAAGCAGGCTATAGAGTAAAACACATCACTAGACCAACACAAACAAATGGACATCCATATATATTCACCAACATATAAACAATTCAAACATATCATCTGGTATGTATGTAGAGAAACACCTGTGGAACTTGGATCGGCTGATTGAGCTCGCCAGGCTTAATGTCCTCCAGAGGCGCTTGATCTTTCGTCAGCTTCACATACCGCGACGGAATTCTCTCTTCTGCCATCTGATCTGATTCCTTAACAAATCAAAAAAATAAAAAAAAATAAAAACACATTTGGAAAAATAACTCATCGACTACAACAGTGTTTCTCCAATCCAAAGTCAAAACACTTTACCGTGAAGAAACCTCAGAATCAGCTCTAATCTCTGTGAATTCAGAGGCTAAGTAGAAAGATAAAAAGTCGGTGAAGGAATGTAACCGCAAAATCAGAACGACGAAGGAATTTCTAGATTTGGGGAGTATTTTCCGTTTCGTTTTCGCACTTACCAAGTTCGCACTAGAAATCGTAGATCGCCGATCATAATCGTGGATCAGGTGTGGTTGTCGTACGAATATATTTGTCGACTTCGCCAATAGGGTATTGCCACGACAACGGTCTAAGAAAGTCAACATATTGACTTTTGTTATTTTATTGCTGGTCACGTGACTTTTTAATTTATTTCTTTGGGCAAATTACAATTCGGACCTTTGTGAGTGTGCACCTAATTCCAATTTGATTAAACAATTAAATCATAAAAAATTTAATTGATTTTTAATTTAGTCCTCCTGTCTAATTTCGTGACTAATATTTGGCTTGAGAAAAAGGATATATTTGTCCAATAGAAAATATTTCTTGCCCAAGTAAAAAAACTATACTTTTTTTCATAGTCAGCTCAAAAAAAAAAAATATAGAGTGAAAATTCAAGAGATACTATGAGACATGAAGAGAAATACTGATGAATGTAAGAGATAATTTTTGTTACAAAAACATAACCCTACTTTTTATTTTTTATTTTATATTGAAAAGTTAAATAAAACAAACTAAACAGAGTTCATTGGGTAAGATATATCGGCTAAATCGGCCTTAAGACAAGTCCTGATCTAGGGATGGGGTAGATCTAGGGGTGTAACTAAGGTGGATTGGGCAGGTTGAGAGGTCAACCCTAGGTATATAATTTTCAACTCTAACCCTACCTCAACCTGAGTACTGCCCGAGTTTAATTCGGACGGGATCGGGTTGAATTTGGGTTATTTAATTTGGGCTAATTTCGGGTGAAAAATTGAGTTGGGCTCAAGTTACTTAATTCGGATTAATAAAATAGGGAAGAGTGACGAGTGAGAGAAATCGGTTGAGAGTCTAAGACAACTCAGACAAGTGACAATTGAAAAAGAGAGGAGTGATGAGTGAGAGAGAGACTGAGAGTTTGAAATAAGATGAGAGATGAGTGACGAATGAGAGAGGGATCTGAGAGTGATGAAGGCATAGAGATGAAGACTTGAAGTGAAATAAAAGTATGAACTCTGAAGAGTGAAAATAAGTATTAATCCTAGTTAAATATGTTTATATATATTTGGGTTCAACCCGATTTTAATATTAAGGTGCAACCCGACAACCTGAGAGGCTTGCCCGAATTTAATTTGGGTTGGATTTTTTTTGCTCAGGCGCAACCCAAGTATTAAAAATTCTAATTCAAGTCCTATTTTTTCGGGTTGGACTNGCTCTTCTGCCATCTGATCTGATTCCTTAACAAATCAAAAAAATAAAAAAAAATAAAAACACTTTGGAAAAATAACTCATCGACTACAACAGTGTTTCTCCAATCCAAAGTCAAAACACNCCCAAGTATTAAAAATTCTAATTCAAGTCCTATTTTTTCGGGTTGGACTCTAGTTGAATTCGAGTTGACCCGTCCAAATTGCACCCTTAGGTAAATCAAGCTCCACAAAGGATTTCAACTATTGAACTCCTAGATTTTTCCNGGGTTGAGAGGTCAACCCTAGGTATATAATTTTCAACCCTAACCCTACCTCAACCTGAGTACTGCCCGAGTTTAATTCGGACGGGATCGGATTGAATTTGGGTTATTTAATTTGGGCTAATTTCGGGTGAAAAATTGAGTTGGGCTCTAGTTACTTAATTCGGATTAATAAAATAGGGAAGAGTGACGAGTGAGAGAAATCGGTTGAGAGTCTAAGACAACTCAGACAAGTGACGATTGAGAAAGAGAGGAGTGATGAGTGAGAGAGAGAGACTGAGAGTTTGAAATAAGATGAGAGATGAGTGACGAATGAGAGAGGGATCTGAGAATGATGAAGGCATAGAGATGAAGACTTGAAGTGAAATAAAAGTATGAACTCTGAAGAGTGAAAATAAGTATTAATCCTAGTTAAATATGTTTATATATATTTGGGTTCAACCCGATTTTAATATTAAGGTGCAACCCGACAACCTGAGAGGCTTGCCCGAATTTAATTTGGGTTGGATTTTTTTTGCTCAGGCGCAACCCAAGTATTAAAAATTCTAATTCAAGTCCTATTTTTTCGGGTTGGACTCTAGTTGAATTCGAGTTGACCCGTCCAAATTGCACCCTTAGGTAAATCAAGCTCCACAAAGGATTTCAACTATTGAACTCCTAGATTTTTCCAAGTAAGTCTACACACTAGTTTCCTGCTTTAAGAGTGTGGATGATAGGGATATGGTTCATTTCCATCAGTCTTTTTGCAGCTTGTTATGATAGCTTTATTTGGATGAGTTTCATTTGAATTCATAGCGACAAGTTTGTCAACTTCCAACGAGTCTATCACCACTAATACAAGGGGGATATGTCTTCTCTGGATGACTTCAAGTCCTTTCAATATGACCCATAACTCCGCTTGAATGTTTGTTGTATCATTGATTCTTCCAGAAAATCTAGCGATCCAACATCCTTGATCATCTTTAATGATTCCTCCTACACTTGCAGGTCTAGGATTGATTTTCGAGCATCCATCGACATTTATTTTGTTCCAGCGTGTATAAGGGAAGACCCAACCAATTAGTGTAGGAGGTTTCCTGATGGCTTCAACTTTTATGCCATGAAATGCATTCGACAAGTCCAAAGCTAGTAGCCAAGCTTCCCTAGCTACTAGTTTATGGCTGGTTTTGTTATTGGCTATGAACTCCCTATTCATATCTTTCCAAATGCTCCACATGGTGCATGCACATGAAATTTATTGTCCAAGAAATGGGTTGCATAGTATAAAAAATATAGAAGTCTAAGAAACGGTCTGCATAGCATCAAGAGCTATATAAAACTGTTGTCTAAGACTTGAAAGTCACTTATATAAAAGTCTTGAAATCTGGTGCACTTACTATGGTAAAACTCATTAATTTTTGGGATTTTTTTTTTACTTTTCGATAAAATACCAAAAAATTGCAGATATTGCAATCAATCGAGTTTGGCCTAATTCTTTTAAGTTCTAGAACAAAAATTTCATGCGTAGAGAAACTGGAATGTTGTTAGTTTGAAAAATGATGTTCACAAGGAAACAAGAAAAATGGGAAAAAAATCCCTTTAAAAAGATCAAAGCAAATAGGTAAAGAAGCTCAACCTAAATGCTAAGTAGCTTCATCGAATCAAACCAAGACTTCAGCATGACCATGTTAAAGGAATTTTCACAAAATTCTCAAACATGTGAGAAACAAAAATAAAGAAAACACACGTCAAACAAAAATAATCCTACACATAAGACAATATTTACGTGGTTCGGCAATTTGTCTACGTCCACGAAACTACAAGGATTTTACTATTGAGAAGAAGGAATATAGATGACGGTCGTACAGTATCAATCAACCCTAATCACGAAAAATAATAGTTTTTATATGTAATGCGCACCAGGTTACAAAACAGGACCAAGCCTCCGCTCCATGGACTAAGCCTCATAAAATTTTTCATTAAAAATCACGCAATATTATTTTGGGTTGGGTCATCATCCATATCAACACAAAACTAGACTCCGCAAAAAGCCCAACAAATCTCCACTTGGAGACTAGTTCAATCACTAACATCAACCGCAATCCTTGTAACTCATCCTTCTATCCTCAAGCTAGAAGGCCAACTAAAGCTGCACACAACTTCAGCTTCTCAATACTGATACTCTTAGTCAACATGTCTGTCGGGTTCTTAGTTCAACAGATCTTTTCAAGTATCAATTGACTATCATCAAGTAAGGACCGTATGAAATGATACCTAATCTGAATGTACTTCGTCATGGAATGAAATGCCGGATTCTTGGCGAGGAATATGACATTCTGACTATCACTGTAAAGAGTACCCTTCTGTTTCTTTTTACTTAGTTCCTCCAAGAAACACCAAATCATCTCATTTGAAGCCTCTGACAGTGCAACATACTTGGCCTCTGTAGTAGAAAGAGATATTGTCTTCTGCAGGTTGGAACCCCAANTGTTGGTTTTTCTTAGTTTGTATATGTGATCCGGATGATGACCCGACCCGAAATAATGTTGTGTGATTTNAACACCAAATCATCTCATTTGAAGCCTCTGACAGTGCAACATACTTGGCCTCTGTAGTAGAAAGAGATATTGTCTTCTGCAGGTTGGAACCCCAAGACACGGCAGTACCACCCAAGGTGTAAACAAAATCGGTGGTACTCTTCCTACTATCAATGTCTCCGGCCAAGTCAGCATCAACAAAACCCTGTAACTCCAAACTATCTCCGGTGAAATATAAACACGCTTTTGAGGAACCTTTCAGGTACCTCAGAATCCACTTCACAACCTCTCAATGTTGTCTTCCTGGGTTGCTCATGTATCTACTCACAACTACCACTGCATGGGCAATGTTCGGTCTTGTGCAAACCATAGCATACATTAGTGAACTAATAGCTGAACCGTAAGGAACCTTACTTATGTAGTTATGTTCCTCCTTTATCTTGGGTAACTGATCTTTGCTGAGTCTGAAGTGACTACCCAAGGGTATACTCACTGGTTTAGANGCAACCACGTTTTTGGCTGATAAATTCTTCCACCCTAATGGCACTAGTGAGAATAGGAAACTAAAAGAAATGACAACTGCTCGGTTGTGAGATCTACCTGGTGGTATGTTCCCACCTACTAGAAACATATTCAAGAATCCTAAGCACTCCAATTAGTTCAAGTGGACTAGTAAAGTAGAACTAAATTTTAGAGCGAACGGTTTTTCTTTCCTTCTACAGTGCATTTATGACTGAAGGAATGGGGACAAGAAGCCTAACTCACCATGAAAGTTTTATGAAAGTGGTCTCAAGTAAAAGTAACGCAGGTAAAATACATTGATAGTCGAATGCGTTTTTGTGTTAATTTGGTCCTCCATCTTTCAATTGTGTCAATTTGGTCTATATCTGTGTTATCTAATCGAACATAGAAGTTTGAATTGATTAACAGAGATGTTCATGTGATCACACTTGAGGGGCCACTTTAGTCCCTCAAATTTGTAACTTGTATCATTTTGGTCCTTCAGGTTTACAGTTTCTGTCACTTCAGTC